GGGAAAGAACTTGCTTGGGTGGATCTTTCCCCCCTGCCCCGGGTGAGAGGGCGGGGCTCACGGTTGCCAGGAGTATGTACTGGAATTGCAAAGGTGGGCCTGGGGCTTGACTTCTTTCAGTATCTTGTTACGGGTTACTCTGGAGCTTGGCGAAAATGAGCACGTTATCTGCAATATAGCGTCCGTGCCCTGTTCACAGTGAAAAGGTCGGGCTTTGCTACTTACCACCCCGCGGCCTCTCTGAACCTCAGCCTCTTCATCTGCAAAATATGCCTATTGACACATGACGCTCCTACAGCCTTTTCAAGTGGTTAGGAAAACGGACATCAGAAGAGAGGTGATGTACAAGGAGGTCCTTTGTCAACCAGGCAAGGTGTAGGCGATGTGCCCTGTTACCACATGTGAAAATGTCTCCGATTCTGACTTTTACTGAGTGGATACAATGACTTTACTAACCCTAACCCTGCTACCCCCATTTGAATTTAGCAGGACGCTGTGCTCGGCCTTTGCGGGCTCAGATGCAGGGTCCAGCCCCGCCACTGTGGATCCCAGAGCAGGCTTCCCGTCCCTGAGCTTCCCAGATCCAGGCCTAGCCTCGTGGAGTGTCTGTGCCCTGTGCCCTTCCTGCAGCCCTGGGGGACCATTCTTTGCCCATGATTCTTGCTGCTCTGCACACCATAGCCTTTCTTCTGCTTCCTCCCCTTCTGCTGCCTGGCCTGGCCCCTAGAGGTCAGCCCCTCATTGACTTGTCATTTTGTCTCCCAGACCCCACTGTCCCTTCCTCTCCATTGTCACGATTCACTGTGGAGAAGGGGTCAACCAGCCCTTTTCTGTCTAGGACAGCTGACCCCTGACCCTGCGCTCCCCCATCGCCCAGCTGTCGATAGCCAGCGCTCTGCTCTGACCTTGTCTCTTGATGGACGTATCTTTTGGGGTCCATCTGCCCACTCGCCCTCGCTGATCTCTGACTCGGGTTGGGAGGTGAGTGGAGTGACCCAGGCCAAAAGCAGATCCCCGGATTGCCTAAAGGCCCACGCTCTAAATTGGGGATCCCATCCGCCACTCCTGGCCTTCTTGGCCAGGTCCTTGGGGCAGCTGCCACATTTGGGGCCCGACGAGGGAGCCTGGGATTCAGGGGCAGGGGACGGAGGTCTGAGGGGAGGCAGAGGAAGTCGGGAAGACTGCCCTTTGAGAGAGGAGCTAGCGTGGGGCAGGGGCAGGGAAGGATGGGAATAGGAACACCTCCAGCCGGGTACTGAGCGCCACGTGTGGACCGCTCAGAGCACAGGGAGGGTTTCACACGTTTCCTGGGTCTAGAGGGGATGAGCCTGTCTGAGAGGCATTTCTTTCCCTGATCTGCCCTTGAGTGTGTCTGCATGGCCGAGTCACGTGGCATCCCGCTGCCTGGGGTTTTAGGGCCATGGGCCTGACGGAGTAAAAGCCAAGGGGCTGCTTTTCTTGAGGGGAACACCTTCCGGCTAGATGAGATGCCTCGTTCTGGGGCCAGGGTGTGAGCAACGGGCGCGTGCCTGGGACAGGCTGGCAGGTAGCAGGCACGAGTTACAGCAACACAGGTCCTGCTCCGTTCCCCCCAGGGATCCTGGCCTTTCGGGGGCAGCCGCGACCCTGGGGCTGTGTGGCTAGTTGAGGGGGAAAGCTGCTTGTGAAAGAGCTGGCGGTGGTCCCGCAGTCCGTGGAGAGTGCCTGTGTGTGAAAGGGGAAGACGCGGGAAGGGCAGGGCTGTCAGTCCTCCTTCCGGGGGCTTGAGGCTTCACATGGTGGTGAGACGGAGAGAGGTGTCCTCTTCCCTTCCCAGCCCTGAACAGCCTCTGGGGTGGAGACTTCGGCTGGTGCAGGTCAGTGGAGGCCATGGGGTGAGGGGGAGCCCTTCATAACCGCCTTCTCTAGAGCTTTGGATGCTGGGCAGCAGACTGTTCTTAGCATCCCCCTGGTGCCGCTCTGATGGCAGAGCCCCCAAGTCTGCCAACGAGGAAAGAGACCATTGGGATGACTCAGGATCGCGCCGGCATGGGGGAGATTCCTGATGCATGACATCATGCTGAACAGATGATTCCAGTTAGTTTAGAAGAGCCAGTGGCATTGAGTTTGAACTTGGCGCGGGCGGGGGTGAGGGAGGGGGTGTTTAGCTTTCCTTCCCACGGCACCCCGCATCTCCCTCTGTGCCTTGGAGCCCCCCACCCTGAGGTGCTGCCCTCAGCTATCCAGGCTCCCTGCCCAGCGGGCGTGGGCCTCAGGGATGGTGATACCCCAGAGCTTCCCCGTCCTCCTGGCCGTACCTGGACGTGTCTCGCGACGCTTCATCCCTGGTTTACAGTCGGACAGTGGTGGCCCAGAGAGGGTCCACGACTTGGCCCCTGATCCAGAAAGGGAAGTCTGCCTGGGTGGTTGGAAGGTGGAAGGAAGAATGGAAAGCCCTTTCCATCTGCGACCCTCTGAGTTCCCTCCACCGAGGAGCGGTCACAGGGCCCCAGGGAAGTGGACTGTTGAACTGGGAGTCTCAGTTCTTCCATACGGGCAGCTTGACAGGGCCCATCTCACTTCCCACCAGGCTGTAAGGTGCGTGGGGAGCAGGCTGAGGGTCCTCGCCCAGTCCCCCACGGGCTCTGGCCTTTTTAAGGCCCACCTGAGGCAGGTTGGAGAGGGAGAGAAGGGCATCCCTGGTTCTCTTCCCCTCGGAGCGAGCGCCTCTCACCCCCTAGTGGTGAACAGAAGCACAGTGGTCACACTTGCCGGTCAAGGCCTCGGCCACCATAGTCAAAACAATGGGGATAAAGCCACCCCCAGGGCCGTGTATGTAATCTGTGGTTTCAAACCTGCTTAGCTCAGAACGCTTCCTTCAGTGAAATCTTAACCAAGTTGATGCACGTGGAGCAGCTCTCCTGCCCTTGTCCAGATTAAGGAGCCCAGTGGGGCCCCAGGAGGTCCTTGGGTGGTGAAGCGTCTCTGCAGGATCCCACAGGGGGCTGGGGCCACAGATGGGAGGGGTTCCCATCTCCTGGACTCCTGAGCCAGGGCTCCTTCCTTTGGCCTTTTCTCCGGCCTCTGATGGGAAAGATGGCCGTGTATTCCCAGTGGGGCGTGGGCGGTGCCTCTGAAGAGCTCTCTACCTGCTGGTGAGTCTCAAAGTGCAGCATCCAGATGCCTCTCTCCATCTTAAGCCCAGGCCCGGCATCAGACGATAGACAAGTCACTTAACCTCTCAAGATTTCATCGATTCACCCGTAGAAGGGAGTGTCTTGAAGCAGGTGAATTTCGCCTTGTTCTTTGCTAATTCCTTTGACAAGTAAGCAAACAGTAGGAACACTGCCTGGGCTGGTCGGTGGAGCTAGGGTTCCCCGTGAGGCCGCAGCTGGCCTCACCGAGAAGGTGGAGGTCAGGTCAGGGCTGCTGAGGTATGGGACCTGTTCCTTGGCTCTGGGTGACCCCAGCTGAATGAATAGTCCGACTTCTCTCTCATTCCTTGTGTGCTTGTGCCCTCTTTCCATCCTCCTGTGAGGTCTCAGCTTCCCCCACTGCTGACAGAGCAGCAGGAGGCAGTGGGGACACGATGAGGCCGGTTCTGAGAGAGAGAGGGAGAGAGAGAGAGAGAGAGAGAGAGCGAGAGAGAGCGCCTCAGGGCGGCCAGAGCAGAGCCCTCGTTCTCCCCGGCCTTGCTGTGCAGGGCCTGCTGTTTCCCCGCATCCGTGCAGACGCTGAACAGAATCGCCGACAGTCAGAATTGCCCACCCCAATCCCACAGCGGGCCCCTGGGGTACCTAGCCATTTAGATCATATGTCCCGTGTCTTGGGGGAATCATCATCGTGCTGCCTGGAACAGGGAGGAACACGTCGTAACTTGATCAGAATGGGTCCCTGCTCAGCTAATTGCCTCTCACTCTGGGGGGCGGGTTCTTAGGAAGTCACACACACTTCAGCTTCCCAGGTGGGCAGCTGAGGATGGAGATAGACCCTCACCCCTGAGCACACCTTCAGCACCAATATAGAGCTTGTCAGCGTTTTTTGACCAAGAGATTCAGAGATTTGGGAGAGATCGTTACTTTGTATTTTATTTTTGGAAGTAGTGTTTCCCCCACTGGATGGTGGGGAAACTTACGTACATCTTTGTATTCTCCTAATATCCCCATGTGCATGCATGTTGATGCATTTCTATTTATATATTTATGGACAGTTGCAATCTTGATCATAGCACATGCTCGTGAAGCCTGATTTTATTTTTGCCCCCTCCCTCAAGTAAATATTGTGAATCTATCCATCCAGTTCCATAGCCAAAAGTTTAAGGTTTCCAGAAATGGCTGAATGGGTTGGATGGAACTTTCCACGGGTGAGTGTGGAGGTTAGCTAACAAGAGCTAGTACAAGGACACGACCCTTCAGATGTTTTATTCAGGTGTTTTTCTCTCTGCCATTTCCCCTACCAGCAGAGAGGGGGTGTCCCTGGGTGTGGTCTTGGGGCAGCCCCTGAGGCCATGCAAAACTGCTCCATGGAGAGAGATGTCTTGTGACTTTGCTGCCTGGGGAAGCTGTGCTGTTTTCTGTTGTCTCTTCCTTATTCTTTTCCTCGAGAGTCAGTTTTTACTCCAGAGCCTTAAGTAAAAAGCCAGTTAGAGCCGGAAGGCCCCGACAAGATTAGCCAGCCTACCTTCTTCCAACTCTTTTGACCTAAACCATAAAGGAAGAAACACATTTTATAAAGCAACTCAGGATAACTGTCAGTATACGTCAGATCGATGCAAATGTTTCTTAAGACAGTATTGACTTGCATTACTTCCTGATACTTTCTATTGTAACATTTTGTTCAACTCAACAACAACAAAAAATGCTGGTCACCACCTACAGATGAATTTCATGACCCTGTACTGAGTTGCAGGTGGAGGTTAGAAAAACTAGTTAGTTCGCTGCTGTACCTCTACCCTCCTCATAGACAGCTGGGACTCCAAGGGGCTGGGAGGGAGGAAGTGACTCGCCCAGGGTCCCACGGGCTGGACCTGGCTTTGTGGGAGAGCCGGGCAGTTGTCGGGGCCCTAGAGGGGGTCACTGCCCTGCTGCTCAGCAGGGCCAGCCTAGCTTTCCTGGTCCTGCCGGTGCTGCCCAGAGGCTGCCGTGTTCATGCAGCCCTTGCTCCCCAGTTCTAGGGGGTGGGGCAGGGGACAGTGTCCCTCGGCATTTTCCCACAAAACGAGAAGGGAGGTACGATCCTCTCAGCAACCCCAGGACCATCCATCCACACGCCCTGACTGCCAGGGTTAATTCATTTGCTGGAAGTGGGAGTTGGGTTTGCAGACAGCGGGATGCAAAGATAGGCGTGTGTGGGCTATGCTTCCTGGGCTGAGGCCTGGGGCAGGGGGGCCGGGGATCCCCTCCTGCCCTGCCCTTCCCTGCCAGCTGCTCCCACCCAGGGCCTGTGTGGGCCCAGGGCCACGGGCTGGCTGCTGCCTCTGCATTGTGAATGTCCCTGGGGGGAGCTAACGAGGTTACTGGGCAGAGAAACACTCCTGTGTGACCCCATGCGAAGAGACCTACAGCAGAGCGGGAGGCAGGGAGGCTGGCTTCGTCACTGTCCAGGGACAGAGAAGAGGCTCTGGACGAGTTAGAGCACAGCAGGCTTTGGGTGGAATGGCGTAATATATATACATCCCTCGAGAGGTGGAGATGGTGCGTGGGCTAAGAACAGAAGGCCATGGAGAAAGACAGACAGACGGCCAGGCCTGCTGTGTTCATGGGATTCGGCCAGAAGGGGAAGGGTGTGTGCCTGGTTGAGCAACCCAGCGCAGTTTCTGAGGACGCCACTGACCTGATGTGGACAGTGGGGTCACTGATAAAAAAAAAGTGCGTCCTTGGACTATGTTGATAGAATAGCAAGAGGGGGAGATAGTAGGTTGAACTGTTTCTGTAGGTTAAACGCAGTGCTTATGCTGGGAATGGAAGTGTGACCCACATCTTCCCTCTACGGCAATCCCCCTCCCTCCAACTTCCCATTTCTACATGAGTGAATTCACTGGGATGATGGCAAAACTAGAGAGAACCCTTTGTGGAAGATGCTCTCCACTCTGGGGCTGCAGTCAGGACCAGGGACAAAGCTCTCACCTCGAAACCTATCAGCACAGGGCAGGGTGAGGGCAGTGGAGACTCAGACAGCTCGGTTTCTCATCCACCACGTTAAGGTACCGATTGTACACAGCTTCCGTGGTTGACGGCTGGATTACACAGGCTGTAACGAGGCAGGTCCTGGCCGTGTCGGCAGGTGGGAGCCCTTAGCAGCAGGAGCAGGGCTAAGGGGTGTGTATCCTTACCTCCCTGCCATGGACAGCGGTGGCCGATTTGGCTGCCAGCCCTTCTTGGGGACAACCCCCGCCCCCCGCCCCGGAAGAAACCGGTGTTTGGGCTCCCAGGCTGGTACATAAAAGCACCCTCTGTAGCTGCTCTTGGAGAAATGGAAAATGAGGGGGTTCGAGCCCATCCAATGTATCATCGTTTTTCCACTTGTCTCTAGCAAACCACTCTTTTTTTTCCCCAGCAAGAAAATGGGATCTTCAGGCCTCAAAGCCATAAAATCTAAAGCAAGTCGTTCCTCTGATTAGGACGGCTAATAGTGGGAGTGTGATTGACTTCCTGTCCTCTCTCCTGACGTTCTGAGGGCCTTGACGCTGGGTCGGAGTAGGGAATTGTGTGAAACGTGCCCCCCAGCACCCGCCCCGCCCCATGGCTGCTTCTCGCACTTTCCTTGCATGGCCCGTGGGATCTTAGTTCCCCAACCAGGGATTGAACCTGGGCCCCCTGCAGCGGAAGCATGGAGTCTTAACCACTGGACCACCGGGGAAGTCCCATCCTTTTCTTTTTTTTTTTTTCAATCAAATCATCTCTTTTGTTCTGAGCCGTCTCGGTCCTTGATGCCTGTCCAGAGAGTATGGCAGAGTCACGTCAGGGCTGTCGTCCTTCCTAAGATTTACCTGCTCGTGCTTCCCCCTCCTTCGAACACGTGGAGCCCTTGGCTCGTGTCACTTGTGTAGCACGTGGGTTATCTTGTCTGTACTGGTCTCAGACCTCCCTGCTCTACTCAGTCTCCTCGTCTTAAATCTGGAACCGCCACGGTCATGGGCAAATGAAGGGCGTCTCGTGAAGGAAAGACTTAGGAGAGGATGCGTCCGTGGGGGTCCTGACCTTCCGCCTCTCGTCCTCGCAGACTTCAAGTTCGCCATGTACCCGCCGTCGATGATCGCCACTGGAAGCGTGGGAGCCGCCATCTGTGGGCTCCAGCAGGACGAGGATGTGAGCTCGCTCACGGGCGACGCCCTGGTGGACCTTCTGGCCAAGATCACCAACACCGATGTGGTAGGTGGCCCCCATCCATCCTCTTGGCTGAGACCAGGCCTCTCTTTCCTCAGCTCGGGGAAAGAGACAGTTGGTTCATTGAGGAGGTGGCAGGGGTTCTTTGTTGCTGTTGGTTTCTGTTTTTTAAGATCGGCACCCGCGGTCATACAGAATTCAGCAGGTGAGGCCTCACGTGCCATCAAATAGAGAAAAGAACTTCGCAAGCAGAGACAAGGGGGGAGGGAGGGCTGCTGACCAGTTTCCTGTGTGGCCCAGGCTTCCCCATGGGTCTGACTTGTTGCCTGTTGCTTGTTTCCATTTATGTACAATCCGCAGCCTGTCTCTCCTCCAGCGTGGAGCTTTCTTGCCTGCTTACGGGCGCTGAGGCTGGCAGGCAGGGCCCGAGCGAGCCCCTTCTGCACCTCAGGGCTTGGGAGATGGAGGGGCCCCCCACCGTCAGGAGGCGACCACCTCCACAGACCTCTCCACCCCGCCTGCCTCTCACTTCCCTTTAGTTCAACGTGATGACGGATTAAAAAGCACTTTAAAAAGAGTTAAGTGCCGTACAAATGCAAGGAACTATTATTAGCTATAGATTTTTCCATTCTGGGTGCCCCGTGGACAGTGCAGAGGCTGGAGCTCTGCTTGCCAGCATTTGGAGCTCCTTAGAAGAAGAGAGGTTTGGGGGATAGCCCAGGGTCCAGGGAGGCTCTGATTCAGCTAGCTGGAAATTGTGGTCCTCAGAAGGTTGATTCTGCGGGGTCAGAGAGGGGGAGAAGCCGGGGTCACCGGCCTGGGACCAGAACCTGGAGGCTCTGACGCCCAGCCTGGGAACCCTGCATTCCTCCCTCGCCGCAGCTCCTGGGATCTTTTTGTTTGAAAAAGGCCTTTGGTTTAAAGCCACTCGAGAGAGGGGTGTCAGCTCTGAGGCCTCTCTCAAGTCACCATGGAGAGGCTCAAGAATGCAGGGGAACTTTGTGATGACCCCCTCTGGATGGTCAGGGGGATTCTGAATGCCCTGCTGCGGGCATATATTGACTTATAAGGGATAATGTGGTTTACAGGCCTGGGGCCGGTGCCTCCACCAGGGATGCTGGGCAAAAGGGTAAATGGGTAAATGTCAGCATGCCTAAGACTGCAGTTGGCTGGCCTCCCCCCAAGCCCCCCCAGATTTTGCCTCGGCCTTCATTACCATCTCAAGGACATGGCACAGGGAGGGGTTCTCTGAAACAGTTCTTAGAGATGCTTTTCAAACGCTGGCTCCAAACAGGCTTCCGAAGCATGGTTTCCGAAATACGGATCGAAAAGACCCTCCAGTGCAGCTTCCTGGGAAGAATATGCTCTTCGAATCCTCTAGAGGCAAATCTTGGACGGAACTTAGCATTTATAGAGATGATATGCTTCCTTCCTTTTCTGAATATCTCCTATTAAGGCTGCCTTGCCAAAAGGACTCCCAACCCGCTGAAGACCAGCCCCTCCTCGACCCCCGGGGACAAAAACGTCAGTGACAAGGGTTTGATCCCCCCACCCCACCCCCCGCCAGCGTAGTAACCTCCTTCGGATATTTCTAGATGTGCCCTGATGGGCTGATTGTCCCACAGGGTCTCCAGCTTTCTCCCGCATCTCTCTGGCACCCCTTACTGTAGGCTTCAGATGGACAGAGGTCGCTCCTGGGGTGCCAGTGGAGCTCGTGGGCTGTGCCTTGCTTTTCAAGTCCGCAATCCAGTCTCTCGTTTCATACGGGAGACACTGCTTGTCCCTTTCAGATACTGTGTAGCCAGGCCATCCTAGTCGCTGTCAGACTGGGCCAACTAGATAGAAAGCTGGCTTAGAGGTGCCTTCTAAAAATCGCCAGCTGTTGAATGGACGTGCACACATCTGCCTCGTTCTCACCGGTCGGCCCTGGGTTAAACATTTTAATGTGAAAAACCAAGCATGCAGGTACCACTTTTTCAGAGAACAGTTGGAGAGCTCAGGAAGTTCCCAGCTTACCTCAGGTCCCCAGAGCCGCACTCCCACTCTCCCTGGGGACGTCCTCGGTGCCTCGGCTATTGTGTATGCTGGACTTTGGGCGCTACGTCCTCCCATCAGCCTGTGTTCTCCGGAGGGCTCTTGGTGCAGGCTCACCTTGTGAGCGAGGCCCTTGAACGCAAGGCACAGACAGCATGGAAGAAGTTAGGGGGTGGGCGGCACACAGGAAATAAAAGACGAGGTTCCTGTCATCGAGGAACGCAGCGATTGTATATGGTGAATCCACGGTAGAGCACGTAAAACCCCAGCAAATGAAGATGAAATGAATGGATGCTAAGCAGGTGTTTGGAACGAGACACGCAGTAGGAAATCAGGCCTTGGGAAGGAGCTCTCCGGGCCTAACATAAAATGCAGAGTAGAAGCCATCACTTGGTGGTTGAAAATGTCCTTGGGATGGAGAAAGAAACTGTGGTGTGCGCATGCCATAGGACATTATTCAACCTTAAAAAGAAATGAAATTCCGATACGTGCTACACTATGAATGAGCCTTGGACGTGTTAAGTGAAATAAGCCAGACACAGACAAATATTGTGTGAGGTCCCGAGGCCCCTAGACGTAGTCAAATCCATAGCGACAGAAAGTGGAATAGAGGTTCCCAGGGCCCAGAGGGTGGGAGAGTGATTGTGTAATGGGGATGGAGTTACCATTTGGGAAGAAAAGTCCTGGAGAGGGTAGTGGTCTCATGACACAGTGAATGTACCCAAAGCTAACGCTGTATGCTTAAAACTGATGGAGATGCTCAGTGCTGGGTGGTGTATATATTGCTACAACAAAAAGTTGTAGATACCCACATAGACATATAATGTCCTTGGGCCACACTGAAGTGCCCAGGGGTTTGCGTTGAGCCCTCCCACAGGGAAGCCCAGTGCCCAGACCACCTTCTGCCCTATGGGCCCTGGTGCACGGGCAGATAAGAATCGGGAAGTGCCGGCCTTTGACCCCAGAGTCCCTACAGTTGTGTGCTAGCCCCGTGCACCTTGCACCTAGAGACGGTGCACCAGCTGACGGTGTCCTTTTTCCGTGGATTGTCAGAGATATGACTGTAGGAGGAGGATCCCCTCTTTCTCCCCTGAAACAGACAGAGCCATCTCTCTGGCCGGCGGCAGAGAGCTTTGATAGGAGGGACCCACGCGGCCCTGAGAAAGCTGCTCTCTGTTGTTTGCTCTGGTTGCCAAAATAAACCGGAACGCTTCATTCCAAAGAGAAAGCTGAGTGAGAAGCCTGACAGTTTTACAGGGAATAAAAGTCTCAGAGGGTGGTGTATTTTAAGTACTCTTTCCTTCTACTCCTAAGTGTTGCTAAAAACAGACACCAGCCAGAGAGGCCATTCTGGCTTTGGGGGAACGTCTACCGGGGCTTCCGTTGCCAAGGGTCCGCTTGCGAAGGGGGGGGGACCGACTGGGCCACTTCCCTGGCAGAATCGGGGTTCCTCTTCCGTCCCCTCGGCATCCTGCTGGAGCTTGGTGCCAGCCTTTATCTCCCTGTTCGCTTGTATATAGACTCTTTTGAACGAGACCCAACTTTGACTCAGCCTTTTCTCCAGATCCCCTGGCAGAGTCATTGGGGAGTGATGTAGGGAGGGCGGGGGAGGAAGGAAGGGGGACAAAGGCTGGGCAGGTGGGTTTCAAGTGCGTTTCTATCACGTGACACCATTTTCCTAAGTCACTAATGAATAAGTAGAATTGCGGCTCACGGGCCACAAAGATGGGAAGTTACCGGAAGGTATTTAACAGGACAGGTATAGATGTGAGTCGTCCTGTCATTACATGTATCCTTGTCTACCTAGATTACACCAAAACTCTCTGTTGCCTTCTTTTTTCTTTTTTTTTTTAAAAGTCTTTATTGAATTTGTCACAATATTGCTTCTGTTTTATGTCTTGGTTTGGGGGCCAGGAGGCCTGTGGGATCTTACCTCCCTGACGAGGGATCGAACCCACATCTCCTGCGTTGGAAGGCTAAGTCTTTAACCACTGGACCGCCAGGGAAGTCCCTTGAATTCTTAACTATTGCCCAGGAAGATTCCAGGACGTCCCTCCCCTAGGGTCATCCGCAGCGCCAGGGAAGACTCGATTGTGACTGCATGTCAGAATCCTAGGGTCCCCACCCTTGCCTCGGTCCCCGGAGCCCTCACGGCACACCTTCTCCTGAAGGCCCCTGTGTCCCCAAGACTGTCCTTTGTGCCCTGAACAGGGCCTGTGGTCAGAAGCCTCCAGAAGAGTCGCTGGACGGGAAGCCGGGGGTGGGACAGCAGAGGAAACAGAAATGGAGGCTGATGCTTCCCGCCCCTGCTTGAGCTTGATTTTTGCCGCGGGCCTCATTTGGTATTCAAGGAAATAAGCCCAACAGGCTGTGAAGAAAGGAAGAATGAGATAGTTTCCTAAGTTGTCTGTGCCTGAGTTGGCCGCGGGTCTGGGGCTCATTCAGCCCTTTGTGCCCCTGTTGAGTGCAGTGCGTGTGTGGTGACAATGCCGTGATGCAGTGACACTGGAGGCTGATGGTAGCAGTTCCGCAGCCCATTCACAGGGCCGAGGAGGGTGCGGGGCGCGGGGCTGGAGCCAGCACGCGGAGGAAGTCGGGCCGGGGAAGGAGCCGGGCATCACAAATGCCGCTGTCAGGGCTCCGGGCCGGGGGTGGGGGGGGAGGGGCCCGAGCATCGTCGGGCTGGAGGCCTGCCCGACCCCCAGCACTGTGGAGTGCCACCTGTCCAGGCTGACAGACGAGCATTATGGCTCTCCTTCTAATCAGCTTAATTTGGGGCATCTCGACACAATGGCTGGTGCTTTTGGAGGCTGCCGAGAAGCAGAGGGCCCGGAGCCGCGGCACTTGCCGTGCACGCAGCATCTTTTCATCGGAGGCGCTGTCGGGGGTTTTCCAGGCCGCTTGGGCTGTGTCTCCCTTTCTCGGAGATTCTCTGCTCTGTCTTTCCTTAGAGCCCGGAAGAGGTAGAGAGGCGCACAGGGAAGACAGTTCTGGAATTGGAGTCTCGCCCTTTGAAGGCCAGGGACCGTTTTTAACTAGGTGTGATTGGGGGAGGAGCCGGCTTCGGGTCGGCTCCCTAGCTGTGAAGTGGGCACAGCTGTCTGTTGGATCTCCAAAAGCCCCCCAGAGCTCCCAGTTCTCAGATCCTGTAAGGATCTGCTTGTGTCGCCTTAGAACTCCGCCCGTGGACACATGGCCATCTCCAGCTTCGCTTTGGGTTCCCTTCAGGCTCTGCAACTTGTCCCCCTTCTGTTTCCTTCTCTGGGCTTGGCCTCCTCCCTTCCTCCAGATCACCCCTCCCACCTCAGTCCCCCCGGCGCTCTCCTACCCACTCGGGAGATTGGGACCCCCTCCGGCAAGACCGGGGCTGGGTGGACTGGTTGGAGGGGCGTGTCTGCTGAGGTAGGGGCACCAGCTCACAGGAAATCCACACGCTCTTGGGACGCCCAAGAAGGGCTCCTGCAATCCTAAAGGAAGGTTTGAAATGCAGGGAGCAAGCTCTGTGTCCAGGAAGACGGATGCCGATTTCCTTCTTGCCACTGTCAGAGCAGAACGTGCAGCATCCTTTATGCAAGACAAGCTCTTGCCCTTAAGTAGGTTTGCATCTAGCCGAGAGCGAGAGGTCCCCGCAGTTGAAACTCAGATTAGGAGGCAGCCAGGTCATGAAGCAGTGGAACCAGAGGAGGGTTAGACCGAGACCCCAGAGTGCTTTCCAGGAATGAGGGACACCATTGACCCACCGAGAGCTTGAGCGTCCTGCTGTCTCAGCCGAGCCTACGGGCTTCAGGGTCCCTCGTTTCTGGGGGAACTGCTATAGTCGTCCCTTTTCCCTTGGAGTAAGAGGTATCAAAGAGGAAGAGCTGGCCATAGTCAGGAATGATTTAGATTGAAATTCAAGTGGGACTGGAAAAATCAAGAAAGGAGAGTTTGTGTTTTATGTGAAATCTTCCTTCATTTTATTCGGGAAAGCTGTTTTTGGCTGGAAGTTACATAAATATGACATTCGACGCCTGTGTTCTCTTGAAGTCCCGTAGAAGTCACTGCCCAGTGTGCCAGCCCTCCCTGTAGGCCTTTCTCAGAACTGTTCCTTTAGGGTCTGAGGCTGCTGGGAGGGAAATCTGAATACCGGGAACAGTAGGAACATGGGTGACCCAAAGGGAGACCGTCCGTGGCCCCGAATCAAATTCTTTAGCTCTCCAGAGCCTGGTCTCCCTGTTTGGAGGACCATCCATCTCGGCTGCTGGTGTGGCTAAGGCAGTGATGATCACGGCATCCTGAGTCTGTCGTATTATTGGGGTGGCAGATGTGCTGACCCAGAAATAGAGCCTTGGAGGAAGGAAAGTCGGACAGGATTGGCCAGGAGCTTCCTCAGGGACAAGCCAGAGGAGTTTTGACTGTCGCCAGTTTTTACGTTGTTAACCTTGTTCTTTAAGATTAATTGTTTGAGATCATAAGGCTTTCGGGTCCTCTAGTGCCTTCCACTGAAATGCAGGTTCCCTTAGAAGCATCCTGCCTTTAGCCTTCACCACCGAGCACCTTCGTGAGTGGTGAGTGACCAGAAGCACGGCCACTGCAGGACGGGCCTTGGAGGAGGAGTGCTGGACGGGCAGAGCAGGCAGTGGGCGAGGCCCGTCAGCTTCTAATTCACCAGTTAGGGGGTCAGGCAGCTTAGAGGACATGACCAGGCGAGGCCACAGGCCAGTCTGAGAAACGTTGTCAGGTCCTCAGTGGCCAGTCCCTGGCTCTTTCTCACTGGGGACGTTGAGCTCTGGGCCGGGGTATGTCTGCCCTGCCGGACGCTCCATCCATTGTGCCCGCTGCACTGCCCACCTCACCTGTCCTGAGCAAATGCTCGTTCGTACCTCGTTTCAAAGAAATCTCAGGAATTCCTTTACAGTCCAGGATGGACTCTTTCTGTTCATAATAAATGATTGTCGTGTGTTGAACTTAGCACTTTGTCCAAATGATCTCAGTTGATCTTCCATCTGTGAGCGTTTCCTGAGCCTTATTTTACAAGTGGGGAAACTGAGGTCAGAGAAGGAAGATAACTTAGCGGCTGCCTGCAAGTCTGGTGGGGCGACAGCAAATACCCCTGCCTTCTAGTCACTCTGAATTCATTCCAGGTGAAATTTCATCTCCGCCCTTAGTGCTCGGTCTGCCATCGCTCCCAATCTTGAATTTCATACAAAGCTGAAATGGATGAGAGATGAGAAAGGAAAATGTGGGCGCATGGAAACGGTGTTCCTGAGAACCCCAACTTTATTTTTAGATCTTGGGAAAATAGAGATAACGCTTTGGTGCTCGGCAAACAGTAACCACTGGGCAGTTGCACGGTGAAACAGGCACAAGGGAAACATACATTAAACTGTGGAAAGAACCGGGCAGAGTGGATTTAACATATTTTCCATGTGTCTGTGCTGCTTACGAGAGCACAGGAAAGCAGGCTTGCCAAGGAGAGATGTTGGGAAATAGCTCCTAAGAGCAATTTCTTCAGCTTACCTCCCACTTGCTACTACCAACCACCATCCCTCCCTAGTGACACCCACGAATTGCCGCTGTGTCCCATGCCACCCAGCTAACAGAAGCATCTGCCTGAGATCAACACATTCTGAATCTTCCCTACCAAATATAGACTAATATCAAAGCGATGCTGCAGTTTTTTTTTTTTTTTTTTGGCCTATTCCCAAATTAGACGGCTCAAGTGTCCAGAATTTTGTAAACATTTCTGTGTTGTATTTTTATGAGAGTTAAGGGAACGGTAAATAAGCGAAAAACACATTGCTTGTTTTTAAGCGGTTCCACAGTCGCTATGAGGGTCAGTGTAGTTCAGTCCATTCTCTTACCTATCCCTTGGGTAGTCTAGTGCGGTCACACTGTCTGTACGGCTGGCCTTCGCCTTTTCCTTCATACCTCCCAGTGTCCCCAAGCGGGAAGCATCTCATTGGCCCTTGGATTACCAGGCACCGTGTGGCCACAAACGGCTGCTCATCTTGGCCAGTGGTGCCCAGGTCCTGTGCATACAATTCACCTGGGCTTCTGCTAAAATGCAGATTCTGATCTGACTGGTCTGGAGAGGGATGAGGTTCTGCATTTCTTTTTTCTTTTTTTAATTAATTAATTAGGCTGCATTGGGTCTTAGTTGTGGCACTCGGGATCTTTCATCGCAGCACACAGGTTTGTCTCTGGTTTTGGCGTGTGGGCTCTGGAGCGCGCGGGCTCAGTAGTTGCGGCACCGTGGGCTTAGCTGCCCCGCGGCTTGTGGGATCTTGTGGGACCAGGGCTTGTGGGACCAGGGCTCAAACCCGCGTCCCCTGCATTGGAAGGTGGATGCTTAACCACTGGACCACCAGGGAAGTCCCAGGTTCTGCATTTCTAACAAGCTCCCAGGTGGTGCTGATGCTGCCGGTCCGCGGACCCCACTTGGAGTGGTGAGGTTCTGGCACCGGAAGGATGCATCTCCTGTACATTTCAGCTTTCTTTCTACTGGAAAGCGAACGCAGACTTAGGCGGGGCTTGAATCATGTGTGTTCTCTTCGTCAGTTGCTCTGCGTACTGTTGCCTTTGCTAACAGCTCTGGTCTGGACCGTTCTTCCTCTAGGATTGCCTCAAAGCCTGCCAGGAGCAGATTGAGGTGGTGCTGCTAAACAGCCTGCAGCAGTACCGTCAGGACCAGGGCGACGGATCCAAGTCGGAGGACGAGCTGGACCAAGCCAGCACCCCTACAGACGTGCGGGATATTGACCTGTGAGGATGTCGGGCAGGCCGAATGGGAGAGAAGTGTCCAATCTGCTCTCTCTTTCTCTCTCGTTGTGTTTTGTTCTCTTATGTTTTAGGATGAAACTTAAAAAAAAAAAAAAATCTGCCCCCACCTAGATCATATTGAAAGATCTTTTAGAAGTGAGACCTAAACGTCCTATAAACACGGAATCATTAAAAGCATTTGGTGCCTATTTAAAGTACAATAGAAGGGAATCCCGTATATATGCGAACAGTTACTGTTTGATGATGTTAAAAGTCATAGTAAAATGCTTACAGGAAAACCTGCAGAGTAGCTATAGCGAAAATGTATGCCTGCACTATGGGAACAAATTAGAGACTTTTTTTTTTTCCTGTTATGAACTAGCATGTATATACCCCTGGTAGGATACTTTCGAGGAATTGCGGATGCCATTTATGGCAGGATTAGATTGCAAAGCAATGAACTCGAGAAGGAGTTAGAAATAAGGAGGGACAGGATGGGGAGGGAGTTACAAAATAATCTCAGTGCGATAGAACCATTTTGGATGGAGAAGCGCCCTTTCTCCCGACCACCTGTTTGTTACTAAGTCAGGAGCGTTGCTGGGTCTCTAGTGACAACTCTTGCTGTCTACAGTAGCTGCTACCTAAAAGAGATGTTTTGCCCGTTGGACACAGGTGATTGGATCCTGGGGTTTCACGTTTTTCGACATCTTGCTTCTTCCAAACATGGTTCGTTGCAGACACCACCCAATTTTTATCTAAAAGGGGCAGTCTAGCTACGGGCCATCCCCAAAACTCCTATGAGATGGAGGCAGACAGAGCCCGAGGGTGGGATCTGGAATGGAAACTTTTCTCCTGATGTGTTCAAGAGAGTAATGTGACCTTGGCATCCCTCATTAGGAAACAAACGAATTCTTTGGTGCTGATTGGCGTGTCTGGTCCACAGGTGAGCGTTTTGGTATAAACCATTCCATTCGAAAAGCACTTTGAAAAATTGTTCCCGAGGGATAGATGGGATGGTTTATGCAAATCATGCAGAGTAGATGCCTCCCTTCTTCTCCTGTGCCCCCTCCCCTCCTGCCCCCAGTTGGGTTGCTGTCCTGTATCTGACACTCTCTGGCATCCCCACCGGAACTCAAGACACACCCTCTTCCGCTGAAATCCCCATTACAACATTCCTAAAAACAAAGCTCTGTTACCATTTTGATGGCACAGAAGGATCTTAATTCCCACCTCTATACTCCTCCTTTGGACATGGAAAAAAACGTTATTGCTGGTGCAAAGACAGACAGCGGGTCATCAGTGTGGCATTTTGTTCCCGTTTCCGTTTTTTTGTTGATTTCATTGCAAGGTTGCATTCAGCGTACTTGAATTTTTTTTCCTCTCCACGTCTTAGAGGCATTCAGTTAGCAGAGAGGTTGAAGCACCAACTTTTTTTTTTTTTTGCACAATTATAATTGACAGGTAATGAAGCTATTAAAATATTTGCCTTTTTAAGTAAAAATTAAAAGAAAGATCAGAACAGGGCTACTTTGAAGAATTGTTTTATACACAGATTCTGCCTTGTTTCGTAGTATAAGGGTTTAAGATGGAGAAAAATCTAAGGGTCTCTTATTTTTCATTTATGTTCAGTTTTTTATTATTTTTTTTTTTGCGCTGCTAAGAAGCTAAGATCATTCATTGTTATCCACATTAACAGTACCTAGCTGTAATGTTTCACCGAGTGTGCTGCTATTTTATAAACAATTTTATAATATATTATTTTACCGCTTAAATTTCCAAGTCCTGAAGTAGATGGTTGAGATAGGAGTTCTTCGTACTGGAAAAGCCCTTTCATACATAGTTTGTTTTCTTCTGGTAGCGTATTCGTGGATTTTTTTTTTTTTTTTCCTCTCTGGTCACATCCTTCAAAGACAGAGTGTATTCTTTACCTCAGGTTTACTGGACAAAATCAATAGCTACAAAAGAAAATGGTTCACATTTTTGTTCTCATAATACCTCACAACCGTACAGTTTCTGCTTGGGAGCCCATTAGTCAGGGAAGGCAGACGGCGGGGAGGAGGCTGTGCAGCCCCTCCCAGGTGGAAGGTGGAGGATTTGGCCCCAGGGCCTCTCACGCCCAGGGACCTCTTCCGTGGTGAAGGTCATCAGGCTTCCATTCTGACTCTGGTATCCTCATCATGATGGAAAAAATGCAATTGAACCAAGGGATTTCCCCTCCCCTGCATGGCTGACACTCAGCACAGAGGTTGATGCAGTGGAGTAGGTACCACGTGGGTACCAGCGATCAGGACACAAACTAGAGAGTTCCAGCAGGCTATCTGGAGAGTCTCATCTTGCAGGCCTTTCTAAAGCAGGGCTCTCATCTGCTTTGGGTCCTTTCATCTGGAACGTTTCCCCTCTCTCTGGCCCCTTCCCGGATATGGGCAGCCCCCATTCAGGATGATCTCGGAGGGTTTCCTAGGTCTGAACCTGCAGCAGGTAGGGTGGCCATGGCAACCGCTCCCACCTGTCCGGCCTTCGGCAGGCAAGCGCAGCCAGGTCCTTGCTAAGTGGCACTAAATGGTTTTCAGGTTTTAGATCGTGCGTTGAATTGGCATGGTTGGAAAAATGGGTCAGATGAGTATTGGATTGGTGGTCGAAGGGAGGTAGGGAGGCTGCTTCTCTGCAGAGATGCAGCCCCAGATGCGTCAGTCTCCCTTGAAGTGTGTTAGAAGGGTTCAGGACTTGGTGAGTTACATCACCCTGACATTCTAGGGATTTCTGGTGGGCCAGTGGGTGCTGTATTCTGAGGTTTTGGAGAGGAAGGCTGAGCAGCCTGTGTTTTATCGGGAGCACACTTTGCACAGGCCACTCTTCTGGGCCCCGAGGGGTTCCACAGGATGGAGGAATGCATGGGCCCTAGAGTTCTTGGGAGTCTTGGAACCTAAAGAGAAAGCCAGGTACAGATCCCTTGAACAGTGACCAGCCGCTAAGCTCAAAGGGAAGCAGCAAATGAGAGAACCTGACAAATAAGGAAACAGGCCAACAGACTCCCCCGGAGTCCTTCACCTTCCACTTTCCCTGGAGCCCCCAGGGGGCCACTGGGGCCTTCTGGCTTTTTCTTCTTCCCATCCTCAGGGCCTAGTGTGATGGGAGGTGTAGGGTTGCTGGTGAAGAGGGTGCCAGGTAGTTTAGCTTTTCTGCCTGCTCTCTCCTTAACACAAAAGAAGGGACCCCGGCTTTGCTGAACTGGCTTATACGCGCTCCTTGGATTGCTTTCCTTGGTAGGAGTTTTTGTCCCAGAGGAGTTCACTTCTCCCCATGCATTTTTTTCTCTTTCCTCCCACTAAGAGGGTTCCAAACCTATTCTGGTCTTTTTCTACCTTGTTGTCTTTCTCTCTCTTCTTTACTTCCTCCTCTATATGGTTTTTTTTGGGGGGGGGGGGTTTGGTTGTTTGTTTATATGTTTTTCTCCATCCGTGGGAACTAAGTTGTTCCCCTAACCTGCCAAATTTTGTTCCTTCCCCTATTTTGGCCAAATCCTACGGGGGAAAATCCTTGTATGCCAAAAATATATGCTAAGCATAATTCAGTTCCATGCGGGTTCATAACAGCCGAGAAGCCTGCAGGCGGGGGCAGGGGACCGATGCCTCAGTAGAATGCCCCCCCCAGGCTGAGAGAAGGGGCTTCTGTCCGGGGAGGCTGTCCTCTGGAACTGCCCCACCCCACTGAGCAGCCCACTGCGTCCCCCAGCCAGGTCCCTGTTGGTGCGCGTGCTGTAGTGGAGGCCCCGTTCGGCCTCCTTCAGCATCCGAGTCGGGCACGCGTGGGTCCGAGGGGACGCCACCTTGGCTGCGGGCATCGGGGGCTTCCCTTCCGAAGGGGCTGCGGATGGTAGCAGGATTGGATGACTTTCTCAAAGAGGGCAGGGGCATTTTCCCTCCACGGGCCACAGGGGTCAAGGCTGGGAGAAGAAATAGACTCGCACCTTATCTCATGTAAATAATTTTCTAGCTCAAGAAGAGAATATTGGTAGAGTGGAAATGGGAAGTAAGAATGGGGGGGAAATCTGAGTAAGCCAGCTGGCTTCTAAGCCAAAAGGATTCCTCTTTGTTTATCTTTGAGACAGTCCGACCCTGAGAATAGCTTTAAAAGGGAAATTAGTGCTGAGACGGTAAAGTCCCCTTCAGCCAGCAGACGCTCTGTAGCTACGGAGCACAGTGGGCTCGGGGCAGTTCCTGTCACCCGTTTGTACAAAATAGGGCCGGGAGATTCAAGAGGACGTGTATGGCTTCTTCATCCCACTTGGCTTTTCATGATTCTGGATTCTAAATGACCCAGAACCGTCACTTCAGCCAGAACCACCGTTCTGTATCCGTGTGTCTCTGCTTTTAAACTTGGCTGGGCTGTCAGACCCGATTCTTGGCTTAGGTTTCCAGAAGCCACCGGCAAACATACACACGCATGCTGGAGCTGCCACATTTATCCCTTTGCCTGCAGCCTACTTTGGGGAAAAAAGTGCCTTACTGACTGTAGCCATTACAGTAGCCAGTGTATTTTGACAGGTGCCTATCCTTTAAAAAAAAAAAAGTTCTCGTGGTTTCTTTTGTTTTTTTTTTTTAATTGGTTGTATTTCTTACTGCTGGCCAGCTCTGAAATCCCCGGCAGATCACCAGGCCATTGGATTTTTTCCATTATGTTCATTACCATGTACCTCAGATCTCTCTCTCTCTCTCTCTCTCTCTCTCTCTCTCTCTCTCTCTCAGTTACAGTTTCTCGTCTTGGACTTTCTTTTATTATTATTATAATTTTTTTTTTTTTGCTTTAAAATGAGTGTGATGCCATATCCAGTCAATTTTATTCTCTCACCATGTACTCTGTAAGAGGTGTGGGTGTTTATTCGGTCGGCATGCGAGCAAGTGCTAAAGTACCATGATCAGTATACACGGAAGGTTTTTAGGAAGTATGGGAAAAAAATGTTGTATTGGCCATGATGGTGACATGGTATAGTCAAGCTGCCTTTGCAGAGGTCCTATCTGTTCAGTGTTAAGTGATTTTTTAAAATAATAACCTGTTTTTCTGACTAGCTTAAAGATGGATTTGAAAATGGTTTTGGATGCAATTAGGTTATGCTGTTTGGACAATAAACTCACCTTGACCTAAATTCTCTGGCTCTTTTGACTTCTTTCTTGACCAGCAAATCCTCAGCGTGGAACACAGCTTTCTTGCGTCA